CTGTGACTTCCTAGATCAGCATCTAAGAGGGCTACCCTCAGGCTGTCCAAAGGCACTTGCAATCTGTCTAAAGAAAATAAAATTGAGTTACAAGCCTTGGGTGTTTGCATGGACTCAATTGTGGAAGGGAGCTTTAAATCTAAAATGTGAAGTGTTGGTGATTAAACGGCTTATTCTGCATTTAGTGTGAAAATCTGTTCTTTTGTATGATTAAATGTATTAGTAAGAAATTAGCAACAAAAGAAGTTAGCATTCACTACCTTAGCAATTAGCATTTACTGTATCAGATGTGTGACCTGAGGGTTCTGTTACCATTAATCTATACATATCTTGCATTTATATTTTGTTGCTTCAAAGAAAGCTCCAAAACATTGTTAAAATCAGGATGCTTATGGCACACCTGACCTTACCTTCCTACTATGAATCTCGCTTGTAAATTATATCTCATTTCATAAAATACTGATAAAATACAGACTTTAAAGCTTAAAAAAAAAGTTCATGGGCTATAATAATTGTCTAGAACAGTGCACTGAAATCATGTCATGATAGTAGCTCATCCTGGTTTTCAGAATAAAGACCAATTAATTAGATATCATTCACCTATATATGTAAGAGAGCTGTATATTAAATACTCATGAGATAACTTGTCTAAAGTCAATGTAGAAGCACAGCATTACTTCATCAGAAAACATTTATTTTTTAATAGTATTATTATCTAGCCCAGAATCCATTTAATTTGAGCTTTGGGAACCACTTCTCTGCACCATGGAGCCCTCTGGGTTTATTTTAAGTTTGTTGCTAGATTCTCACTAAGTTGATGCTTTTCCCTTGTGTTCTGGCAATGTGGCAAAGCAGAAGCATCTTTTAGAAACATCTATAGGAACTGAATTTTTTTTCAAAATTGCATGTTCAGAGTTTGATGTCTAGCAGAAGAGGAAACTATAAATTCTTCCTACCTTAAAGAGAAATCTCTCTTATCAGTCATCTAGTCCAAGCTTCTTTCTGTATTAGTATTTTCTATACAGCAGTGTCCGTTTTGTGTTTAGGTTCTATCATTTTCTGTATTCATTGCTTGACTTTGAATCACAGTTACTGAGAATAACCTTTAAAGTCTTCAGAACTACATAATCTTTCTCTGTTTTCATAGGGTTTTGTTATTCTTCATCATATGCTTGGTGTGATTTTGATGAAGGAAGGTTCACAAGGTCCCCCAGGTCACTAATGAAAATGGATAGCACAGAACACAGTGCCAATTCCTCTGAGATCCCGGTTAATGTGTTGCTCCCTGTTTGGAAGCTGTACAGTTGCTACTTACTTGCTTCATGATCTACCAGCCATTTTTTATGTCTGCTGTGGTATTTTTACCAACACAGTAGTTCTTCAGTCAGCAGCTGTGCAGTGCCTGGTTTTGGTGCAGAGACAGACATAGGATTCCTTTCAACTAATACAGAAAATCCTTCAGCTCCAGCTGAAACATTTTTATTTATTGACTTATTCATTTAATTGATCTTTTGGAATGATTATTCATTAGCTTATCAATAAGTATCCTTATTAGTTTTTCTTTAGTTGTCTGGGTCTGGAAACTACATGAGTATAATGCTAATTTTGAATGGCTTTCTGGTGAGATCTTAGAAAAGGAATAGAATACCAGAATAAAAAAAATCCTATTTTTTCTACATTTCTATTTTCAGCAGAGAAATTCAAGCTAACAGTAAACAGGCAGTTAGGAGCTACCTAAGGGTAATTTGTCTCTTAGGTTGTCAAAACCTCTCTTTGAAGAATGGCCCTAATAAGAAGATGCTAAAAGAGAGACTGTGTTCACATAGAGCACATGGTGGTTGAAAGACTAATTTTGCAACAGATGCCATGGAAAACAGGCACTGTACTGTCAAACCACATGAATTCAGGTACTACTTGTGGTGTACATATGTACGTATGTAGTCAGAAGGCTCTTCAGGCAGCTAAAAACATGTCAGAATAACAGACCGATGTATTTTGCAACAATCTTGTTTTGAAGGATACCTATCAATCCATGTGGAGTTATCTTCTGCATCCTTTGCATTCCCATGAAGAACTAATTTCTCAGCTTGCCTGTTGGGCTGATGCTATACACATTGAATACTCTGCATGGAAATAGTCAGTTAGTCTATTGGGATGAATGATTTCTTGTTTATAATTTCATCAATGCACCCTATTAAGCTAAATATTTAAGCACACTGCCTAATTGAACTTTTGAGATGCCTAAAACTAGTTATGTGCTGACTCAATATCTCCGTACTTAATTGATGTTGAGTATGGCCTATGAAGGAATAAAACAAGTTAAATCATCTTATATTGAAAACATCTGGTGATATTCTAGCCACTTCTAGATGACTAATATTTTCTGGTCAATGTGTACTATTCTCTGCTTATTTACTGTCTTGAGGAAGAACACAATTTGCCTAGTGACAGTGGTCCAAAAAAGGCCTATATCTGTACAGGTATTATAAACAGAGTTTCTTCCTTTTTAGCCTAAGTCATACTCAATGCATAGAGACAGCTTTCTTTTTCTCCAGAAGGAGGTTAAATAAAAAAATGACCTAGGTTTAAATGAAGCACTTAAAATGAATGCTTTGCATTGCAGTGATTGAGCCAGCAGTACTTTTAATAACATGCCCTCACACTGTTGGCCTCTTAGGATTTGAAGGATTTTCTAATGCAAACCATAATGTGAAATTCATTAGCTACCAGTAGCCAGAGTTCTGAGGCTGCTTGAGCCCATGAATTAATTTTGACTTCTAAAAATATTTGTAAAATATTGGTTTATGATAATGCTATATATTAAAATGGCTTTTGGATGGCAGTATCATAAATCTAACATACAGCTGGGTATGAATTAACATAGTATAAAGGAATGAGGATGACTAGGTGAATTTTTAAATCCTTGAGTGACATGCACTGAGCATGTTTACAAAAAGTGAAATGAGTACATATGTGCATGTATATCTGTCTTTTTAGTTATGCACGTTGCTAAATTTCAGGGTGTTCTTTTAAACCTTCATCTGGAACCATACATGTCAATGAGTGTATCCATGCAGATAGGTGGTCTCTCTGGTATCACAAAGAAATACCTACAGGATAGGTGCAACTATAGTTATTTCTCTGCATTTATAATTGCCTAGGAAAAGTTTTATAGGAAGCTTTGGTTTCACACTGACAGATTTCAACTAATGTATTGCTATCCCATGCCATGCATAAAAGCAATAAAAATAAAGTAATTAAAGCTTCTGTTCACCCAATTTAATTGTCAAAATACATATGCGAGATTAAAGGAGGAGAACTTTCAGAAGAACAATAAGATACTAATGCTAAAGAGCTGGCTGAAAAGTTTCACCTTTTCTGTGAACAAGCAAGATTAATTAAAAAGATGAATTTTAAGACACTGGTTGAAGCCTCAAGATAACAAGGTAAATACTACAAGATTTCCTGGTAACTTTCAGCAATTCATTTTGGGTGTTTTTAAATCAAAAGTCTGTGCTGTAACCAGAAAGTCAGAATAACCTGATCATGAATGGAAAATGCTACTGACTGTTTTTTTTCTCAGACTAGAACTCACTGTGATTAGCTTTTCAAGTCTGATTCGAAATTGCCCTAGGACTGAACCGAATATCAGGGTTTTCATTTGCTGGGTGAGAGAGTCAAGTAAGCAGAAAACCAGGTGTTGCTCAGCTGTGTGCCCGTTCAGCACAGGTGGAGCTATGCTATATTTCAGCCCTTCTCTTTGGTTTGCCCAGCAGACCCATAGCACAAGTAACATGAATCCCCACTTCTGTGCTGTGTTGCTTTGTAGACCCTAACAGGGCCTGCTCAGGGTGGAGTGGGGCAGTTTGCTAAGGCTACCTCTTAACTAAACTTCTTGGGAAATGGGATGACCAGTATTTGGTTTTGGCAAAGACTATGCATTTTGATTATTAACCAGGTGCTGTAAATGATTAGGTGGAATCAACTGCCTGACCTTCTCCTTCCCAAAGTTTGGGAGTACTTAGATACTCACATTTATGTATAAATGCCACAGGCCCTTATTTACCAGAACAGGGAGCAACAAACTTGTCCTCCCTGTCCTTTTAGCTTCTCTGCCACTTAGTGTTGGACCTACCTGAATTCACATTGTGGTACACCGTGACTGAACCTCCAACAACTCAGCCACAGCTGCCAGAGGAGCTGTGAAGACAAATGATGCTCAGCCTCTGGCACCAGTAAAAAATGACCAACACACTGTGTTGGGGTGCTCTCCCTTGTCTCATGATCTTTCTATTTTTCGATGTAACAGTTACCAACATAAATCAGTTTGAACCAATTCAAACCAGTTCAAATTTTTTCACCTCTTTTACCAGCTCGTTACTGGACTGACCTAAAAGTGAATCAAATCTGTTTCAGTCACAGCAATGCCCAGATACTATTTGAATTACACATATAATGGTTTGACTTCTTTCCTATGACCATCTGTCCATGGTGGAAACCTGGTCTGACCAAGTTACAAGAGGTTGAATACATACTAAGGTGATTCTCAAGTCATCCTTTTAAGGAGTGTCAAAGCTGCCATAGGTAATGCCTCTGGAAGTCAAAGTCATAGTATTAACTGCAGCTGGACACACTCTCAGGACACAGCCTCAGGATCTGCAAAGGAGACTGAAGCATTAAGTGTCCAAATTGCAGTTGGAACAGCTGAATGTTAACTCTTCCATTTCTTGGAGAGGCTCTGTTTTTGTGGGGTCTCTAGGCATTAGCATAAAAATTCTGCTGTTATTTGTACTGTCATTGCATAAGGCTGAAGTTTTAGGAGGCTTGTTAGCTTGCCCTTTGTGATAAGTACTTAATTAATGAAAATAACATATACCAAAAATCATCAGATAACAAAAATAGCAGCTGATGTACTTTTCACTTTAGTCTTCTCACTTTCAAATATTTAGCTTTGCTGTGGATTGAGTTTCTATAACACCTTAATTTTGTGTTTTTCACAGAAATGTAACCTGGAATAATTTAGCTATCCCAGACACCCACTGTTCCAGAGAGCTAGAAGAAGGTTACCAGTGCCCACCTGGATTTAAATGCATGGACCTTGAAGATCTGGGACTAAGCAGGCAAGAGCTGGGCTACAGTGGCTTTAATGAGATAGGTCTGTCCTACTGGTAAAATCCATTTCAGTATCCATTTAAAAATGTTTATGAAATGACTAGAACAGATAGTTCATGTCCGTGCTGAAAAGAGATCATGTACAATCAGTATTCTGCTCAAGTACAGCACATGCCAGAAAGAGATACTGTGCTATTTGCTTTGCAGTTATGATATATTTGCAACTATTTTTACATTGCCTGGGATCCCAGGATTTAAATATCTTTCAAACAATGTCTTTATAAAGAGTCAACTGTTGATTATTACCAGTATGCAAATGCGATGACTAATTTCTGTGTTTTATTTATGATTCATTTTAGAGTATATAATTCATCCTGTTTGTCTAATTTTAGTAGTAATTCCCATGCAAAAAAAAACCCTAACCAGAATTACTTTGATAATCATCTTGTTACTAAGGCGAAGAGAGGAGAGGAAATGGTATAATGTGTATCTGTGGCAATCTTGATCCAAACTCTGTAAGTCAAAACATCACCCAGAAAAATGATTGAGAGTCAGGCAGATTTTGAATACAGGTGCAATTTGTGTTCTGTGAAACACACTGCAGAGTCACCAGGAGAATAGGTTCTCTGATAGCTGCAATATGTCATGCCATCCCCACAGGGAAACAAGTGTAGAACAGAAAATCGGGGAAGGTGGCAAGAGCATGGGCAGGTGGATCCACATCCAAATGGAAAATATGCAGTTACTCTATCAGAACATTGTGGTTATCTCCCATTATTTAACAGACAAAGGTCCAACAGGAGCCTGCTGCTGTAAATTTTTGTTTAAGGACAGGTAGGGAAGTCCCTTCAAATGATAGAACATCCCTGCAGGCTGAATTCTTTCTGATGCATCTCTTTACTCTGAGAAGCTTTTTTTAATCATTTTTCCTGGCTTGAGCTCCAGACTGCTATCCCGGCCCCAGCTGATTTTGAAGGTAATAAAAACGTTTAATGACTGAATAACTGCAATCCAAAAAAATTTTTTTTAGTATTGAAAGGCCTTTCAGCTGAAATTGCTTCAGTTGTTTCCCAGGCTGCTGAATATACACAATGAGCCAAAGAGTTACAAGAAGTCGTCTCAGAGTTCTGCTACAACAAGTACTCCCTGATACCAAATAATTTCTAGACAAAAACTGCCATTTGTGTCCTTTTTTCCTGTGAGAAAGGGAGAAAAACCTGATATCAACCAAGCAGCATTCTGTTTCCTCTGGGAGTCAGAAGCATACCAGTTGTACCAGTACTGCTAGCTGACTAGCACTACTGATAGTACCAAATTTTATATAAATTTTTTCTTTAGTAGATCTCAAAGGAAAGCCCTGTCTGATCTCTCAGTCAGCCTTCAGATTTACTGCCATGCCTGGATGAACATGAGCTGAGTTCACACTAGAACCTGAAAACATTGACACACAAGTTCTGTAGTTCAAGACAGTTTGACAGGGAAGCATGAGATAGGTGTATCACCAGGAGAATTAGACCTCAGATTGAAATCACCCTTCTTATCTTGACATATGAAATTATTTGTGGCATTATTCTAGCTGCCTACCTGGTCACCAGAGGAAAGTAGTTGCAATGCCTTAGACAAGCTTAAATGGGTAGATGATTTGAACAAAGCTCAGAATGCTTAATAAGGGAGGCCAGTATGTTTGTAATGATGGGGGCAGGTTGGCAAAGAGAGGTGAAATAGTTTGTTCATGGATGCCTGTGAAGTTGTTTTTAAAAAAATAGGACTGCAACTCTGGTCTTGTGAGTCACAGTGCTATACCTTATCAGTGTCTTTCTGAGTGTTGCATTTTAAAGGTCAGAAATGGCTAATAGACTTAGGAGACTTGTTATCATTAGCTGTTTTGGCCTAGAAATAAGTAACCAGGATATAACACCTCTAAGTACAGTAGCCAGAAGTGAAGCTGAATAGCTGATTACTAAACTTTAAAATCCTGGGTAAGACACAGCAGTTTTACCACAAAATGTTAAATAAGCTTCCTCAAATCAGGAGTGTTATAAACAGAGTTATAACCAGCAACTTTATCAATATGTTATAAATCTCCATTTTGTGATGCACCTTTGTATGTAGTTAACAGGTAAGTCATGAAGGAAATCTTTGCTGTGTAATTACACTATTTTATTGTATAAATTCATTAATATTTTACTTGCAGATATTATAATGCAGCCTGTCCTGTGGATCCTGAAATCTATCATTACAAAAATCACAAGAGCATAGCAGTTTGGCAGCTACTGTATAATTAGTAACACTTAATTTACTGCATATAGGTACAAGCTATGCATATTTGAATTTGATAATTTCTGTTATTTTTCTTCTCTTTAAAGAAAAAGAGTGATTTTTACAATTTTATTACTGAGTGAAAACCAAGCTGTCCTAATCAGATAAAAGTTAATAGTTTTTAATCCTGTCAGGATTATGCCAATTAGGTAATTTCATATTTGGAAAATGCCGTAGTTTTGGCCATACCCTTCTCCAACTTTTATAAATGCCTTTGGCTTTAAATGGATGAAAACTGGAATATGATAATGTAAGTTTTGGTACTTATTTAAATAAATTAAATATATTTATTTCCCAAATTTTCTATTTCTAGTGTTGAGTTGTTCGGTTTACCTGTTTTATGTATGCTTCTACGTATGTAGTATTTAAGGAAGAACATACTACTGATAAATGTGGCTTGAAGTCATCCTGTCAAGATAATCTCATCCATCCCCTTCTACTGAGAAACAGACCTAATAATCTTCCCAGGCAACCAATTGCACTGCTTCATTGTCTGTGTTCTTTAGGAATATTTTCCTAAAGTGTACCCCAAATGTTACTTTTTTAATGCAATTTAAGATTATAATTTCTCACTTTATTCCTTATTGGCATAGACAAAACCTTAAAAAAAAGCTTTTTTGCATCTTTCATTGTGTGCTTGCCCTCTATGGCCCTACTGGGCAAAATAACTCCAAATGCTATAGGACTTATGTTTTATACCTTAAATTGCTCTTACTGTCCTTTTCTAGACCTTCTCAATGCTGATTCACTGCCTCGTTGAAGTGCAGTACTGGCCGAATACCCCAATAGAGCCATTACTTCATGTGTTTTTAAGCTCTGTTACAATTTCTACATCCCAGTGAGATGTTTTCCATTTTCAGAGCAGCATGTTGTGGGTGATTCATGTTTTCCTGATTTATTACAGCCCTTGTGTCCTATTGAAAGATCTGCCCTCACAGTTTCCCATCCTCTATTTGTTTACTTATTTCTTTTTAAATGTAGACCCTTACATTTGTCTCTGTTGAATAGCTTACTTTCTTTTGTTTTTACAGACTGTTTCTTCAATTTGCAAGATCTTCTCTATTTTTAGTTCTTCCCTCCTGAATATTTCAAGTGCCTTTTACCTTACTTCTATCTCAAATTAGATGAGTATAATTTATTTTCTATCAGCCTGGTCGAGAGTGAAAAAACAAACAGAACCAAACAAAGATCAGACTCTGGAACCTTGTTTGACAGTTTTCCTTTCTGACAATGTTTCATTAATAGCTGCTCATAAGGACACATGACAAATGGGTTTGCACCCCTCACAGAGCAGTGTCACCTAGTCATACTCCTTTATGTTGTCATGGTGAGACGATGTTCAAAGCCTTTTAAAATCAGGATGTGGACCATCAAGTATTTCTTCTCTCTTTACAAAACCTGCTTCCATTCTGCATTTGTACAGCAATGATACAATAAGATCTGTGCCATAGGTTCTGCAGTGCCTGCACCCTTTTATGTATTCATAATATGATACTTACACCTGATGTTTGTGAAGGGAATTTTTCAAGCATGGGCCACATCAGCATATATCTACAGCTAGTGCCTCTGTTCTTCAGTGTACATATTTCTAGCCTGGATGAAGAAGGAAATAAACACCAATTAGTATTGCCAACTTCACCAGTGTAATCTTTAAAGAGAGTGAAGGTACTGAAAGCCAGGGCAGTTTTGTCTGGCAGGACCTCTGGCAAAGTTATAAGCAACAGTCACAGAGGTCTATCTCATAACTCTTTGTGAAACTCAAGAATTAGTGAAACAGGAACCAATTAGCTAAGGTCTCAGTGTCTCAAATTCCTTTCTCTGTGAAGTTTGAAATGGAAGGAAGGAATAGTAAGGAAAGAATAAGATGCCCTGCTGGGTGAGCTGACTTCAGTTGTCTTAGATGCTGGCTGATGGGAGGATACAGGAGGTTACTGCCTTCTCCTACTAAGTTGCTCATGATGAACTCAGTAGAAACCCAAGTACACTTCCCAACAGTTTGACACACAACTTGACTTCTCAAGTAGGTGTTGTTCTTACACAGTGGGAGCCTTCATATTAAATTTATTCTTTTATCCATCAGGATGCCTGAAAGATTTTTCAAGTACTACCTATGGGGCTGAGTGGGAGTAAGAGAGAGGATATGAATGAAAGGCTTGGCTGCATGGATGTGGGTGGCAAAGCTCCTTACTATTGACTATACCTGTATGGTACTGTCAAGCTCTTCTCTTTCTCAGACTTCTTAGCTGTTTTTGATTCAGGCTGCTTTAAAAAGGTTGATATTTTCTTCGTATTAGAACAGCCTTGTCTCCCACTGAGACCATCAGGTACATTCACAGCTGGCCTGTTTCTTTTTTCTGATTTTATTCTCTTCTCTGTATTTTTCCTAGCTGTGTTTAATTGGGTAGGCTGTAGCTGATAGGATGACAGTATTATGAAGTGTGCAAAAAACGTTGAGCCAAATATTGAGAAAAATGACCTTTGTTTTGTGAACACACCCCAGTAATTGTACAAATTGTTAGTCATGTGATTATATTTTTAGAAGTATTTTCATCTGTTATACCTAAAAAGCATAAATATAGTAATTGAATTAAATAAAAATATGCAAGTCTTGGCAATTGGAGGACTATGACAAGTAATTCTGCCTTACATCTCACTGTTTTTCTGAGTGTGCATCTATCTGTAGTCAGTA